AGGCCCGGCCCGGCCCAGCGGCCTCGTGTCGCTCCCCGCTGCTGCACCGCGACTGAAACCTGTTGCCCCGGTAGCCGCATCCAGAAGACTAGCTTGTGCCACATGACTAAGGCAAAGAGTGTGAAGTGGGCATGTGCAGCAAGAGTAGAGTTCCTCCTAAGTTGGAAGGGTTTCTGTAACTGGACAGATTAGCGGTTGATCGGTGCCTGCGCTGCAGTCCACGTGGGGAAGCTTGAGCCTGCCTTGGTCGCAGGACAGCTTGCCTGCAGTATGTTTTGTTACTTGCATTTAACAGGGTGCTTTTAGAGAGACTTTTCCAAGCATAAGGCTTAATCTGAAGGGCTTGTCCTAGTGAGTCTTGTCTTCCTTTAAATACCTGCTCGGTCTTCCTTTCCCCCCGCCCCTGAAAATACTGCCGAAGAAATGGGCTTCGGTTCCCATTTCAACAGGGGAGTTAGAGAGTCACATGGAAAGATTGGGAGCCTGGGACACTGTGAGGGCTGGGGAAGTGCAAGAAAGGTTATGAAAAGCTGGAGGACTTTGGATGGCAGAAGCTGGGTGAAGACTATACTGAAAAGTGTGTGCTCTTCCAGTTTTCTTCATGGTGCTATTATCTTAGCACTTCTTGATGGCCCCTCAAGTATTCAGGGGTAAAAAGAAGTGAAGCGTCCTTGTCCTGCATGTATCAGACCAGTGTGTTTTTTGGGGAGGTAAAGGAGACCCAGGTTACCCTACACAGGTTAAGGGAGGGTTCCTTCTAAATGCAAAAAACCAAAGCAAAACAAACAGCTTTACTAATTGATTCTCTTGCAACTATATTGATTACCTCAGAAATTTTGCCTCTGCGTAATCTTTACCTCATTAACTGCAGTAGAACTGTTGGTGATTTTGCAGCATGCAGCTGAAAGGTCCCACATTTAATTTAATAAGAACTTGCATTAAGGGACAACAAGGTCTCCAGTAAGTCCACGCACCGTTCTGGAACAGTGAACGCATACAGCCCAGTTCTCAGAGGCTTAACTTCACTGTCTTTCGCACTGCAGAAGGGTACAAAGCTGCTGCCTCCACTCAAGTCTCAAGTGTGCTCGAGACCGTTGGCTGACCGAGCGGAAGCTGGTAAGGGAAGAATCTCGTGTTTGGCTCAAGCTGTGTTTCGGCATGCGCCAGCAGACTGTCTCTGTGCTAAGGTTCTAGAACATACGGTTAATGCATTTTTCTTAAAACAAGATAAATTCCTAAAGTACAAATGATTTTTTTAATCAAAATAGGCAAGAGATGGCACAAGTTTTCATAACTCTTAGTAACTTTAAAATGATAATTTAGCTAGGTAATGAAAAGCACCTGTGAGAAAATGGTTTCCTTAGAGCATGTTGCCTAGTACTTAAAAAAATCTAACACATCTGGAGAAGAGATTTTTGCAATGTGAGTTCAGTCACCAAATTAAGGTTCAAGAATACAAAGATTCATATGGCTGCCATTCTGTACTCTTTTTTTTTTTTTCCCCCTCCTGAGGATATGGTTTAATGTTAAATCTAACTCAGCATAATTGCTTGCTGTCACAGAAGAGTATTCCTGTTTTTGTTCTCTTTTCCTCTCTGCCCTCACAACCCCATCACGTGCATTTCTGCAAGCTAAATGAAGGTAGTGGTAAACTTATCTAATGGAACTTTTCTCCACTTTCTTCAATGGGTTAGCTTTCTGTTGGATCAGGTGTTATGGTAGCACACAATTAATGCTCAATTAGAGACAAATTAGTTAATCCAATGGAAAAAGCTGAGACTATTCCTTAGACTGCCACTGATTTACACCAGATTAAAAATAATGTAAAATTGAATGCTAGTTTCTCAGGAAGTCAGGTTTTGGGGACAGTGTCACAGGGGAGTGCTAAGATAGTGCTAGCACCTGAATGTGGCGGTGAACTAATTAAGTCTTCCTTAGTCAGAGTAATTAGTGTGAGGCATCTCTAAAGTAACTGCAACTGTTAGTCTGCATATCAAGGTCTGAATTTTTGTAAAGCACTTTATACACTCTGATCACAGGTGTCAACTAACATTTGCTAAAATCATGCTTTTGAGGGTGTTGCAGTGTTTATGTACAGGGAGAAGTCAATAGTGGAGAACAGGATGCCACCTTTTTTTTTTTTTTAAGGTTGTAAGTGCCCAGATACAAAAATTACAAGCAAGTGAAGGGATAGAGCAGCCTTTGAGATCAGGAAGAAGGGAAAACTGGAATATTCCAGGACTGCAGCAAGCTGAGCAAACAATGATTGGTGGATTAAACTACTGAAATAAGGAGATAAAGTAAGATGACTGTCAAGCATGTGTTCTGATGGAGAACATGATTTCCTGGGACAAGGGAATCTTAGGGGAGCGTTCCCTATGTCTGTTTTGTCATCTTTGTCTTCTGAAAGATGTTGCTGCCCTATGGGTGGCAGAACAGAATATGCATGGCTAAGATCTCCCAATCAGGCATGAGTGCAAACCCATCTTCACCAGTAGCCTTAATGTTTGCTCATCTGTGAACTGGCTCAACTGATGGCCATGAATCTACTTAATTTTCTGCAGCTGTAGTTACCAAATGCAATAGTGTCGAAAGAGAGAAAGTGGAAATCTGTGCTTTATAGTTCAATGCTGAATTCAAACTGATTTATGTCAGCTTTATAAAGCTGTATTTTTCTCAAGGACTACACTACTCTATCCTTATCTTAAGAGCAACGAGATGGGCGTTTTTTTTTGGTCCCCATTAACTTATTGGCAAGTAGCTGCTTTCTTACCAACTTTCTAGTGTATGGACTAACTGTATCTGGTGTACTGCGGCTATAAGCTGAATGCCAGCCTAAGGGAAGTTACTTTCAAATTTAAGGCATCTTACCTCCTTCTCCATACATGCTTAAGTCAGTATTCCTCTCGAACTGCACCAAAGACAAGTTTGTAAACGGGAGAACTGGAAGTCTTGAGGATTTACTCATAAATGCCGATATTTTTATTTCTTCTTTTAAGTAAGTTCTCTAAACTTTCAGACCAGGATTAGTCAAGAGGTAGAAACTTCAGGAAGGTTTCTAATCATGTTTATTAGGTGTATAACACAATTTTTGATATTTGTGTTCTGCCTAGTGATGAGAAATTGGATATATGGTAAAGAATAAAGAATAAGTGTTGCTGGCTGTTGTTGGCTCTTGATTTGTTGCTAGTAAGTACCTATTGAGGATCTGTGCCTAGATGGTTAAATAACAAATGATGCTGTAAAGGATGGATTTGTCTACCTATCTTGAATGTAGAATGCCAAATGCTGGCATACCAACTCACATCTTGGGTGTTTTGCTTGTCTCTTAGTTGTTCCACAGCTTCCATTTAAAGTTCTGAAGTCATGTTTAAAATTGACTCAGAAACACATAACATGTGGCTATAGAACTTGCTGGTTATCTTGCTTAGCTGAGGCTGCAGTAAAATTGCAATACTGTATGAATGCAAGTCTGAAGAAGTTAGAGCAAATGCGCCAAGTACTGAATACTAAATTCTCTTTAGCACAGCTGGTGAAAATGGCTGAAAATGGAGATGGTGAAAACATGTCTATCTTGGAAAGCAAAATCTGTCAGCAAATTGAGGTATGTTCATTTTATTGTTTGGCATCTGGACTTGGATATAGTTTTGGAGAAATTAATTGGTAGGGACTTAGCTAACTTGAAGGTAACTTTATAGTGAGTTAAATCTTCAGTTCTTCTAAAATTGCCTATCACAGGTCTATGACAGGTATTTAATACATTAAGATATTTCGTAATTATAGTGTGAGTTGGAAAGCTGCTCTTGTCTAGAGTTGCCTGTAAGACTACTACTTAAAAACAAAAAAAGTTTAACTTGCTAACGTTTTAGGTATTAGTTACTTGATAGGCTGGCAAGTGAATGCATCATTAAACAATGTATAGCCATATTCACTGGGGTTGTTCCATGTATGCAAACAGGAAGATTCATTGTAGTATTTTTGTGTCTTAAATTTGGAAAAATGCTGCTCCGGAATCTGTGCTGTTCAAAGTATTAGCACATTGCAGAACTTGCTCTTACGATTTACCGCTTTGTAATTTATTGCTACAAAATGCAACTGAACTTCTGTGCCTACTTTAAATCGACTATCTCTCACTCAAGAGGCTTGGAGGGTTACCCTATGGTGGAAAAACTGAACATGCCACTTAACATCTAGAATAAAGTCTCCTTAACGAAGGACAAAAATACAGCTTTACCCGATATCACCAGTGTATGGGGCTATAGTCATTATTTATGAAATAACAACAGAGATTGGAGGAAAAACTGTTGAGAAGACTAGCTTTGTGCTAATGTGAGCCTCAGGTAAACTACAGGGAGAAGTACTGCTGTAAAACTTGCACTGACTCTTTATAAAGCACAATGATATTGGTGGAAAGACTTCAACTTACCCTGTGGATTAAAGGATTTGACCCTAGTTAGATTACTGCTAATAAACAAAAGAATAGTCTGATGAACTTGTCTCTTGCATGAAATGAAATAACTTGTCGTCTGCGTGACGTTCTGTTCTTCCCGTGCTGGACATAATCAAAATGAGAACACAATGAATAAAAACTGTTTTTTACCTCAAAGTAGTTTTTTGGGTGAGACCTAGAATTCTAGCCTAAATAGATGGCTTTTCAGGGTGCCAAATACTGTGTTCTTGCCTATACGTTCCTTAAATAAGGACCACAATCTGAATCTGTTAGTGATGAATTTGATTTGTGTGACTCTGTGGAGCTCAATCCAGTTGATGAATAATTACATTAGCAGAGTAAGTGTCATGCCTCTTCTAGACAAAGTTGCAATCTAGCTTTACCTTATTACAGCCCCCCTCTCTCAACAGCTTATTTGTTGCAGCTAACTTCTGGAAAAGTGTCAAAATAAGGCAGGAAGTAATAATTTCAGAATTTCCAGTTGTTATCAGCATCATGAATTTTGATGTCTGCATCTACTGCAGTAAACCGTCAAATGAAAAAGCTTTAAAGACTGAACTCTCCAAGATGAGATGTTTTTCTTTTTTTTCTTTTTATTTTTTTCTCTGCAGTACTATTTTGGTGATCACAATCTCCCAAGAGACAAGTTCCTAAAAGAACAGATCAAACTGGATGATGGCTGGGTGCCTTTAGAAATTATGATCAAGTTCAACAGGTAAAACAAAATACAGCTAAGCTGGATGGAAGGTAACATCCAGCTACTTACTGCTGTTCTGGGCCAAACATCCCAGGTCTGCATGTACAACTCCTACTGCTGTCTTAACATGTGACTTGGGCTTTGCCCGTGTGGTTGACATAACCTGTATCTGCTTACTCAATAGGTTAAGTCGCCTTTCAAAAGATTTTGATGTTATAGTAGAAGCATTAAAAAAATCAAAGACTGGCCTAATGGAAATAAATGAAGACAAAACTAAAATCAGAAGATCTCCAAACAAACCCCTTCCTGAATTAAACGACCAGTATAAAACTGCAATTAAAAACAGATCTGTATATGTTGTAAGTAAACTTCTTCCTTTGCTTTGTGCTGTTCTGCAAGACTCTGAAAGCCACCTAGCAAAAGCTTGAATTAACTTATACTAGATAGTCAGGTTTTTAAGTTGTACTTGTCAGTCGCTGTATTACATTAGTAATAAGTACTCCTGTTGAAGTCTCAGTTTGTTGCATGTAATTGAAGTTTATTGTTGCCTTGCAGAAAGGCTTTCCAGTAGATGCAACTCTTGATGATATCAAAGAATGGCTTGAGGATAAAGGTCCAGTTGAAAACATTCAAATGAGGAGAACTCTGCAGAAAACATTTAAGGTAGTTTTTGTGGTGAACAGTTGGAAGTGGGGCAGGGGTACCTTCTAGAGAACGTTCCGTATTTGTAACTTCAATACTTAATGTCTCTGATCATTTAACAGGGATCAATATTTGCAGTTTTTGATAGTGTTGAATCTGCTAAGAAGTTCACAGAGATCCCAAACCAAAAGTACAAGGACACAGAGCTGATAGTGCTTTTCAAGTAAGTTCCCTTAACTGATGTGTGAACTAATAATGCTCAAGTGTGGATTTAGACCTGAGAAGTACAAGTTTCTACACTGTTGTACAGGTATCTACAGCTGTAGCTTGAGACTGGCATCTCAACTTCTAAAGTGACTCTCAACTGTTTATTGACTGCAGCAGTCTTCTAAAGTAATTATAATGGAATACGGTAGTAGCTAGCATTAACCTATTTTGTTCTGTTGAAGGGAGGAGTATTGTACAAAGAAGAATGAAGAAAGGAAACAAAACAAAGTAGAGGCTAAAGCAAGAGCTAAACAGTAAGCTATTATCAATGGAAGTGTGTGGATTTTTCACCTGACTACACCTGAACCAACTCTGAACTCATCTTACATTTTTTACAGGGAAAAAGAAGAAAAACAGAAACAAGCAGCAGATGCTGAAATGGTATGGATTTTTTTTTTAATATCTCTACACCTGAAAACTATCCAGTTAATCTTTCATAGGTTTTCAGTCCCCAAGTAATTAATGGAAACATACTGCTGCAGCTACATTTGTAGACCTAAGACTTGTGGGATATTCAGAGCTTCAAATTCTAGTTTAGAGCACTTTCTACTAAGGAACTTCCATTACAACTGAACTGTGGTGTAGGACTTCATTTGTCGTGGTTATATTTTATTTGCAAGAGGCTCCTTTTGTTGAAAGGATTATATCTGGAATTTATTAGGTATATTACCTATTCAGAAGTGATCCTAAATGCATCAAAGGGATGATCACTCTTCTGTGGTATTTCCAGGGTTCACAAAGGATTAGTTGTACTATATAGGTTTTTAGCCTGAGGTGTCAGCCTTCAAAAAGCTGTTTGGTAAAACTGCAAGAGTGTAACTATCTTATGGGAAAGGAGTGCTAAGTTCCACATAAATGTACTGCAATAAAAATTTAAAAAAGGAGGAAAGCATGCAAAACTTGAACATGAGCATAAATAAGGTATGTAGTAAGAATACTTGACTTACTGACAGTGCTAGGGGGATCCATTTCAGTTACTTATTTATCTCTAGAATGTTTTTGGTTTGAGGGAAAATTTGAATAGTCAAGCGTGACTTTCTTTTAGCAAACATTTTTTTGTTTTAATCTTATTTAGAAGTCTCTGGAAGAAAAGACAGGATGTCTTTTGAAGTTTTTTGGTGATCTTGATGATCAGACGTGCAGAGAAGATCTCCATGCAGTATTTTCTGATCATGGAGAAATCAAATGGATACACTTTGTCAGAGGTGCAAAGGAGGTCAGTAGATTCTTGGACAAACAGTTTCAAATTGTAATAACATTTTAACTCTGATTAATGTAAGGAATTCATTCTTTGACTTGTGGAATTGCTCAATATTTAGGGAATGAATTTATTCACTTAAATTCTTTCAGAAGCACAGTTCCAATCTTCTCAGTTGATAAGATCAAAACAGAGACACTTTGTTAGGACTGTCTGAGGCTTTTGTTCCGGCCTTGACAGAGTAATGAACTGCTTGTCAGAGTAATGAACGTGCTGAGGTACCCAACAGGATATGTTGTCCATCATTCTAGCTGAATGTTCTTGCAATAAGACTCAAATGTGAATGACTCTCTTCTTTTTAAGGGTATTATCCTATTTAAGGATATTGCAAAAGAAGCTCTGGAAAAAGCCAAAGAAGCACATAATGGAAACTTGCAACTTCGGAACAAGGATGTTACATGGGAAGTGCTAGAAGGAGATGCAGAGAAAGAAGCTCTAAAAAAAATATTGGAAGATCAGCAAGAATTGCTAAAACAGAAAACAAAAGGTCCTTTTATTAGTTTAAACATTTAGTAGCCTACTAGTAGCACCATGTGAAAATAATTATCTTAAATAGTGAATGCATAATGATGACTGACTGCAAAGCTTTCTCTTAAGCTTGCCACTTAAGAAGTGAATGACAAAGTTCCTGACATCTTATGTCTCAACAGGACGCAAACTTAAAGGGAAAGGAAGAGGCGGGAAGATACCTCAAGGTGCACACAAAGGGAAAGTACAGTTTCAGGGCAAGAAAACAAAATTTGAGAATGATGAAGGTGGTGAAGATGATACTAAAACAGGTAAGTCATTTTGTGCACTGGATGCATAATTTTTATGTGGGGCTACTATGCTGGCCTGTCTCAGCTGTTTCTTTCAGGTGTTTCAAGGTTGGCCATGTAGTATTTCTGTACTCTTGTCAGTAAGGGAACTTTAAGGATTTTCTGCTTTGATTCCTTCTAGAAGCTGAAACTCCCCCAAAAAGCATGTTAATTACTAGATAATTGTGGCAGTACTACAGGACTGTTCAAAGTATTTTGTGTTGAAGACTGTAGTTAGTTGTTGGCAACACTACACAGCTGTGCAAACCTGGTATCTCTTGAATAGTGCTGCTTTTTGTTGTTTTGATAATATGAGAAGACTGATAGTTCTGGATACGGGTACTTGGCTTGGAAGATGCAAAAACTAAGCTTCTGTTCATTAGATACAGCATCTGCTTAAACAGAACCCAGTCCTACTCGAACCTACTGCTGTTAGATGGTATTCTTTTTATCTTCCCTTATTATCTCTTTCTTCCCTGTATAACCTCACAGGAAGAATACTCTTCAGAGCTGGTATTTTGGACCATTTAGAAGCTTTAAGTAATCATCTATCATAGCAGTAGCTGTGGATAAACTAGAACCCATCCTTGGGCTACACTTTAAAAACAGTGTCAGTATTTCAGTAGGCTTATTACTCTATGGAAGACTCCAGGTAATACTGAAAGGCTTCCCTTTGCTATAAATAACTCCATCTTCAATCTTGCAGAACCAGCAAGTCCCAAGAAGAGACCCCTAGAGGAAACTGAAAAAGAAGAACCTGCACCAAAACAGCTGAAAACAGAAAACGGAGACGGAGAGCAGTAATACTAAAATAAAAATCATTGTTTTTATTAGTCCATTTTAAATAGGTTTTAAAGCCATGCCTCAGTTCAAGAGCTTCTCAACAGAAAATCTAATGAAATCCACTTCAATGTCAACCTACAATGAGAGGAAAGCTTTATTTTGTTGGATTACAGCTTTTTTGGTTAAGAAGCATGCTTACTCTAACATGCCACTCTGAACATTTTTTTTATTTATAGTTTTGTTTATACTGTCAGTCCTCAATTTCTCTGGCACCTCATTCTACTGTAAAAGGTTCCATCCTTGAATTGCCTTTGTAATCTCAAAGTTGTATTCACTAGCAGCTGTCAATAAATTGAGAACTTAAACTGTTCACATAGTATAAAGTTGTAACTGTTAAGTGGCAAAGCTTGAATGACAGACTTCCATCACTAAGTGTAAGTCACAAAAGGAGTACAGCTGAACAATGAACTCCTGGCCTACGCTATTTTAACATAACAAATTGAACTTTCAACTCTTGATCAGCCTGCCCCAGGATTCTCAGTATGTATTTCATGGTAACAAGGTAAAGTGTTTGGGTCTTCTAGAATTATTTTCAGCACCTAAACCCAAGCTCTAAAGTTTTTATACTCTTGCACCTTGGCCTCCCTCCTATAGGGAGACAGAAGCGTACAGCTTCCTCCTGCCCTCTTTAGGAGGGCCTCTCTGAATTTTACCAGCTTTTGCTATCTGCAGTATGCTGAACAGAATGTTGAAGTTGTCCTACTGCTGTAACATCCTAGCTCCTCTGAACTCCTGGTGTGCTTATCCCTTTACTCGAAGTTTCAGTTGCAGACAGGATTAAGGAGATAACTATTAAAGGGCGAGTCAGAGCTACTTTTAGCTTTCTTCACACCTGGTGCAGTGCTGGCTTTCATCTTGTTTGGCACACAGCTTTGGCTTGCGTTAAAATCGGTCATCTTCCCCACCCTCCTGCCCCACCACTAAATGCAGTAACGATAATGAAACTGAATGCCTTCATAGTGATGCCTCTCAACTGCTGTCGGTATTCACTGCCCAGTACCCTTGACCCTACAACTTAAGCATTATTCAGTAGAACTCACTTACCTGTCTAATACAGTATGGAGCTTTTTCTCAGTCTGATTAGGTGTTACACTTACCGATCTCTTCTTGTGAAACTTGTACGATGCTGGTAGGTCATATCTAAGTTCTGTGAACAGTACAAAGAATATCTGTTATGTTATAATGATTAATAGGCAACTAAGTTGCACCTTGCACCCATGTTCTTCTATGCTTTCTATCCCCAGCCTCAAAGAGCCCTGGCTGGATAACTGTTTTGACCTCTGGACTAGGTTGACTGGACACTTCATCTCAGCCATCCACTTACTGTCTGTGCTTAGTTTAAGAAATACACTAGCATCTCAGTCACTTACGCAGCTTTCATGTCTTAAGTGTATGACTGTATAAAGCACCCAACTGGTGATATTTAAAGATCAGGCAGAATCGTTGGTTATCAAATCCAATTACTCTTATTCCCCTGAGCTTTGTTTTAACAGTGCTTCCTGTAATTATTATTTTTTGGTTTTTAAACCTTGCTACCTGCTAGGACAAAGACACCCACCTACTTCATTTTCTGTTTTAACCCACAATTAAGTTTACCTCTGGATGTCTAGCTAGTAGTGTGTTCCAGAGATTAGCAACTAAAAAAAATTTTTAATTACAAGTTGATCTTACCTGCTATAACTTCCATCTTCACTTTCCATTCATCTGCTTTCTTTTGAATGTGCTAGGGTATTAAACAGATGCAGTTATGCTTCAAAGCTGGTTTCTACACTGTCTTATAAACATCTGTACCCCTTACTAGTTTAAGACTCCTACACTTGGAAAACAAAGTTAAAACATTGTATTTTATTCCTGTGGTCTCATGTGCATCACAGTAAACGTTCTTTGACATTGGTATTTAGCCAAAGCAAGTTTCATACCCAGTAAAGACATGCACAAACCAGTGACGCTATGGGCTACCTGATTCAAAACTAGCTATGTAATTGGTTAGCACCCCCACTCTGCTAAAATTAAGGACTTACTTGCCGTGTTGATGTTTTGTGAAGGGAATATACAGCTGTTTTTGCCATGTGCAAAGCCGTTTTCAGAAAAACCATATCCATCCCTAAAAGAGCATTCAAATTATTGCAGTTGTTAAATGGTAACTTTAAATAGCCACTGGTTAAAGATATACTTTATGCTACAGTGTCCTTGCCTTTTGTAAAATGGACAAAAAAATTTGTTTCGAGCAACTGGCTATCATTGAGCTTCTTATCCTAGACCTCTGAGAAATAGCACTGAATACATGAAGGTATGGAAAGTAATTCTGTGACTTCCATAATTGCTTTAGTAAAAGAGCAAATGAATGATAAGGAAATGGAATAGCTAGTATGGTTTACTTGAAACCACTTATTAGCTACAATGCTGAAGCGATTAATCTCTGCTTATGAAATTGATTCCAGATCAGCAAAACTCTTGTGGGTCCCATACTGTAATAGAGAAGGGAGATGTTTCATTAAATGTTTTTCCTTTCATATTTCACTCTTAGTCATTTCTAACTAATTTTTACAATTACCAACCTTTATTGTGCTTGGTACCAAAAGGAGGGTTCATAATAACTGTGTCAAAAGTATCCGACGTGGCATCAGACAAAGAGCAAACATTGCACTGAACCGCGTTGATGTTTGGGAGCTCAAATTCTTCAACGTTTCTATTAAATATTTTCAGGGCATCTGCATCTATGTCAAACCCCACACACAATCTGTAAAACAAACCCAAAAGCTACACATTAGTGTTTTTTTTTCTTTTTTGCATAAGAGTATGTTTATTTTCAAAATATGATTTAAATGCAACCTCTTTTAAATTCTGCAGTAAAGTCCTGAGAGGGATCTGTGTGCACAACTTGTTTGCGCACTAGGAAATACAACAGGCATGCACTATAGAAATTCAGTGCTGATAAAATAAAAGTGTGAGCAGCTCTGATGCCTTTTTCAAATATCTGTTTAAAATTTTATGAAAGAAACTTCAGGTGTTAATTTAGTGCTTCAGGGAAAACCAAACATTTTGACATCCAAATTCAGTACAATTATCTATCTCTTCCACTATTTGACTGGTTATTGACTGTCTAAACGTTAACTAAACAACCGGGTTGTGTACCAAATTAGATACCCAAAATTAGTTTAGTTCAGCATTGCTATGTTCTAATCTTATTTTCCATTCTCCTCTATACTAGAAGTGATTAGAGTCTAGTATAAAATACTTACCCTGCTCCTAACATTGCGCTTCCAATGCTAAGCATGCCACAACCACATCCTAAGTCTGCAACTATTTTGTTTTCAATATCATCAAAAGTATTGTGAATTGTATAAAGCATACATGCTGGAAAAAAAAACAGATCAGTAATATCAAATATACATCTGGTTATGTGATAAAAGTTACTTTCTTCTCCATTCAGAAAACTCTGAACTTTAGGTTTTTTGTCATGCAAAATTAAAATGATTTCTCACTGCCTGTGCTCATCCTTTTCACTTATACATTAAAACAAGTCAAAATATTTTTGAAAAGCAGTAAGACTCTAGGTCTTTTTGGGGGGGAGATTTTACATAGAGCTGTGAATATTGACTTTATGGAAAAATATGCCTCAAATTCTGGTTGATAAAAACAACAGACATGCCATCAGAAATACAGACTTAAGAAATTGGAAAAATCAGAATTAAGGTACAGAAGAGTGTCTGTATATACACACTACTTATGTTCTTATTTCATGCCACATAAAAAACAGTTCAGCTTCCTCATTTACAGATCAACAAGTGTTTCTATCACAGAGTAACTCCGAATTCAACTTACTCGGTTTTGGATTGCGTTATCAACAGTACGCTTTTAATGAAAAAAGTTAATACATCATTAACAACGGAACACATTCCCGCAGGATACAATTTCTGAACGACTGTTAGTGTAACAGCTTCAAATGAGATAACACAGTAGAAAAAAAAATATGTAAGTGCATTTTTTTAAAAAGCGCTTATGCAGAACTAGTAAAAGACAAATTACGTCAGTGCTATAGTTAACCTCTACCTGCAATATGAGGTCTTGTCGGATACTGCTCCAGGAGTAATTTTGGACTTTCAAAAGTATCAACTTGTTGAAGACAGCTTTCCAGTTCTTTAAGCTTTAATTTCTTCATGTTTATTTATAGATCAGCTGAGAAAAATAACTCGCGGTCAGCTGTTATGCTCTAACACACCTGAAACGTTATCTTGAGCAACTGATTTATACTTAAAATCCCGTTTCGTTTCTCGGCAGCTCCCCGGGTGTTTCCACGCGGGGCCTGCAGGAGGCAGCGGACGGCGGGGGGCCGGGCTGCGGCGGCACCGCGGG